CATGACTAACATTCTTAATAATTTTCAACTGTAACTCATAAAACTGTCCTAGATTTCACCCAGAACTGCAAATTCCCAGGGAAAAATTCATGACTTACGTGTTTTCATGACCCCATGACCCCATGTTTTCCCAGCATCTCCATATACCAAGAGCCACATCATTCCAAAGGGATGACTTGACTCTGTTTCCAGAGACTTCATTTTATTATATGTTTTTTTTTTAATCACAGTAGTACGTGAGAAAAATTATAAAGACAGGTAGTACTGAAAGAACTACAATGGAAACTGTCTCAACCCAGACTCTCTTCTGAAAGGCAAATACTTTCATCCTCTTCAATTGTTTCTTCTGTCATTTATTTCGATATTTCTAAATGCTGTGCTTCTGCTGTTTATTGATTAATGAAACATTTGTTGGCTTCCTGCTACGGAAGATGAGGATTCAGCTCCCACATGTCAGCACCACCCCTTGTTTCTCTCTTCCTTGATCTTGCCTTCCAAAAAGAGCCATATCACAATTTTTGTTCCCTTGCTCCCATCTTCCCAAATAGTCTTATTACAGTTTTGTAATTACTTACATGGTCAATTTATGCATTATTGTGACTATTGTTAACTTCTGATTCAAGTATTATACTATGATTACATTTCTTACAATCTTACACAGATGTTTTTTTTTCCTCAATTTAGAAATGGTCTTTTCACTTCCTAAACTTTTAATGCACCTATAATTGTTTTCTCTAAAGCTTTCATACATTTGTCAAATGCCACATCTATTATAATGTTGAAACCTCAAAAGCATCGATCAACTTTTAAGTGCTATTTTTTCCAAGTCTACTGCCTTACTTTATATTGAAGCTCCATTGTCAGTGTTTTGCAAAGTCATCATAGGGAGGTATCATTTACCTCTCCCCTGTGTCAGTTCTTTCATTTTGTAATGGATCTGATATTTTCCACTTTCTTGATTTATTCCCTTATTTTTCTGAGTCACATTCTCTAGTAGTTTTCTAAGAAAGAATATGTGTAAAGTAAATATTTTGAATCCCCAAAGGTTGGAAAATATCTTTTATTCTATCTCCATGTGCATTAATAATTTGGCTACATATAAAATTGAGTTGAAAATCATTTGAGTTTTTAAATTCAACAGCTGTTTTTTAAAATTACAAAGTATTACAAGGGTACAAATGTCTTTGGTTACATGGATCACTTTTGTAATGCTTGAGTCAGGGTTAAAAGTGTACCTATCACCTAAATACTGTGCACTGTACCCATTAGGTGGGTTTTTGCCCATTCCCTACCCACCCCTGCTTGATTTCCATTGAGTTTTTCTTCTATGGCCTTCTAGTTTCCAAGTTGCTATTGAGAAATCCAATCTTCCTGTCTTCTGCTAAATTGCTTTCCATATTTTTACTTGCCTTTCATCTTCCAAACATATGTTAAACTCTATTCTGCTGTTACTACACCTCCTAGTAACCTTGCTCTTCGAAGTTTACACCTTTTTTTGTTGTTGTTCCTGGACTGTAATTTTAGTGGGCTTTTGGTATGACGAAGTGGGAAATTCATGTGGCCAGCTCACTATTATTTACCCAAAGTCCAGTGCATCTTTGTTTAAGGGTATTTAAACCCACAAAATTCCTTTGCATATTCTATGACACTATTCTATTAGCAAATCTTAGGGTAGGTAGTACTATCCCCATTTGATGATGAGATAGCTACAGCTGCAGGAATATTAGTAGTTTTCTTAACTTTAAAGAGCCAGCCTGAGACAGATTCAAATATAAAACTGTTTCTCCCACTCTGCTCAGGCCTAAGGGTCACATGCAGCAATGCCTTTCTGATGGAGGTCGCTAGTAATAAAACAAGTCAGACCTTGGCTTCTCCATATCTTGCTACAATAAACTAAATGCCACTGCTGTGATGTGAATTATTCCTTTGAACTATTCTCTGAGCTGCAGAATTCAAGTTTCCTCTTCAATCATTCTTGTTATTCCTGAGTGAAAATTGGAACATCTAAAACCAAATAATTGCTGGTTGTCTGACTCATACAAAATGGTGGAGTTTATGAGAACAGACAAAGAAAACTGAAATTGTGGTGTTTGCTTCTGAAGGAAAATATACTTTAGTATACAATGATGCTATTTCAGAGTCTAGCACGCAATGAAATAGTTTTCCTCTTTGAAGATTTCACTTACATTCCCACACAGCGCACAAATAGTATTCTCTAGTTTGAAAACAAAAAAATAAGTAATTGCTTTCAAAGTCCAGTCTTTTGAAAGCATAGCAGTCTTTCAGATAATTGGTTATTCTCAAAAAGGAAAAGGGACTCTCCAACTAGTATTTACGAACAAATGCACATATCCAATAGTTACGGTGTGTTTATGTGTCACTTTGATTTTTCTCTCTGTGATTATAACAGCAGACATGCTTTGTGTTAAATGATGCATTTCTGTAGGCAGTTTTCAGGTAATAAAAGGTTTCTTTTTTCCCATTCAAGGGTTTGCCCATTGGCTTTTCCCAGCAGCATGCCAGGTTCTTGCACTCTCCCTTATTTTATTTTCTAATTAACCCCAACTTCATCTTGATGTATGTTAAACAAACCAAATAAAGGGAGGAAATGTCTGGGCCAAGCAGTGAAGAAGAGAAACTAAGCAGGACCTTGTCTGACCTGGGGCAAATCATTCTACCCCCTGGGCCCTTAGGGTTCTCATCTTTAAAATGAAATAACACAAACAGACTCAAGTCCCCTTTCAGCTCTTGAATACTATTTCTACACTATTGATGAATCAATTTCAATGAATTATCTCAAGCCAGTCACCATTGCTTTAGTGCGTGTGTGACTATGGGAGAATTTATTCATTAATTTGTTTAATGTACATTTATCAGGTATCATGCTCAGAGCTGGGTATACAGTGTCAAATGAGCAGACATGGTCCTTAGCCTCATGGAGTTCACTGTCCAGAGGAAAAGACAGACAAAAACAAACTCTCAAATAATTGTGCTAAATGCTGTGAAAGATAACCAGAGTGCTGTGAAAAAAGAATAATAGGAAAAGGATAATTTAGACAGAGGAAGGGAGATGGTTTCAAGAAAGCTTCATTGAAGAAATAACAAGAGATCCAAAAGTGGAGGGGTCACCAGCCAAGTGAAGAGTGATGGAAATGGCATTCTGGGCATAGGAAGCAGCACATGTAAAGGCGCCAAGGAATTAAAGAGCTTGTGGATTCCAGGAGCTACAGGAAGGCCATGGGGCTCAAGCAGAGTAAACGAGAGGGGTTGGCCTGAGATAAAGTCACAGGTGGGCCCCACCAAAGCAGACAAATGAACCACGGTGAGCATTTTATATGATGTCAGAAAGGCAGAGAAAACTTGCTAGAAGATGTTTATATGAGAAAAAGAGGAGACTCAATTACATTTTTAAAACATTACTCTGGCCACTGTACACACTCAGTTGAGAAGAGGGCAAAAACAGGTCACAGGATGAGGGTGGCTGGTAGGGGAGGCAGTGGCAGAGAAGAGGGTGGATTTTTCATATAATCTTGAGATATCCTCAATTTGGGGCTACAGTCGGCTATAGCTGTGGCTCTGACTTCATATCTCACGCTATATGGACATACCCATCCCCATATCTCCACTCTGAAGAGACTGACTTTGTTAGGATCCCATTGTCTCTCCAGGTGGTCATCTTGGACAGCAGCCTACATCATCCGTATCTGATCCATGGGATTCAGATGCTTGTTTTACTCAAACACCTTTTTCCTGACAAGATTTCAGAGACCAGGCCTTGCCCACACAGTTGTCTCGTCGGGAGGCTGACAGGACCACAGGTCACCCATGGCTCTCACCTTTAGACTTGCCCGAGTGTGGGTGTGGCCATGGCTGCATGCCCCACAGTCTCCAGAGGGTATAGACCAAGCTTTTAAAACATTAAGAGTCTCCTTGAAGACCTTCTCAGTAGGACTGAGGAGACAACAAAGCACCCCCATCCTTCTCATCATGGTGGAGGAGGAGGGTGAGACTAATAGTGCCTCTACAAGGAAATCCTCTCTCCACTGCCACACCTTTCTTCGTGTTTTCTAATATACTTGAGGTGCTTGGCCATCTAAGAGTGACAAAGTTCATTGTGGTGCCCATTTTTGAGGCCTGTCACAGTGCATGTCACCTCTTGGCCTGCACGCTCTTGCCCTGGACTAAATGGAGACAGAAAACGTCCCACTTTAGCATCCTCTCCTAGCCTCCATCCAGCCACCTTCTGAACACCACTGCCGTCTCCCTGAAGCTCCCGCACCCCGCCCTCTTGTCTGCCTCCTCCAGTGCCTCTCCAGTGCTCCTGCCGTGGGCCTTGGTGCAGTAGGGCAGCTGCCAGGATGGTTCTCCACCTCTGCTCTCCTCCTCTGCCCCATGATGCCATCCTGTCCCCAAAAGCTAAGTGACTCACTGCAGCAGCAATGTCATTGCCGCCCGCCTCCTCTTCCTCTTCCCCCAGGCAGGGCTTGGTGTCTGATTGCGTCCCCTCTCCCCCACTTTAGAAAACCATCAGTCCCCACTCCCACACAGATCCTGCTGCTCCCTCTTTTCCAGCCATTTTCCTGAGAGTTTGTCCAACCGCTCAGACCCTGTGATAGAAAGGAGAAAATGGGTGAAATTTTAGGACTTTCACTACTCAGTGAAACACAGAGAAGCAGAAATGGGCGACTTATATGAAGAGCAAAGAAAATGGAATTTACTAGCTTGAATTAAGAGAACAATAAAAGTGAAGGCCGCTTAGATTTGTTGGAGGGATGAATAGGAAAGATATGGGAAGTCACCAGAGCGCATACCTTGGATAGCAAACGTGGGAGAAGGCAAAAGAATCTACCGTCACTTGTTTTCCATTTTGAGAGCTTCATGAAAAAGTCATAGGATAGAATTACCACGTTTTAGGAATAACCTCTTTTTCAGTGATTTCATATCAGTCACCAGTGATGGGCAGGTTGTGTCCTAACCAAAGTTTGCCGTGTGCCTGACAGGAACAAATGCTAAACATGGACTGCGCTGCAAAGCCTGTAAGATGAGCATCCACCACAAGTGCACAGATGGCCTGGCACCCCAGCGGTGCATGGGCAAGCTGGTAAGGGCTTGTGCCAGGAGAGAGTCCCAGGACTCACTGCCTAGGGCACGTGCCTACCCCAGTGAGTTCACTCCTTCCAAAGCCCTTCCCTGCAGCCCTGAGGAAGGCACCCCAGAACTGGCCTGCCAGTTTGGCTTCCTAATCATCAGAATGATAGAGCAGAGGAAGAGCCTTGTCAACCTAATAGGTAAATGCCCCATGTTGAAAAAGAGTGAGGGTCCTTAGTAGAGTAACCAACTTCTCCCAGGTTGGCACTTTCTCAGCTTTAGCACTGAAAGTCCCACCTCCTGGGACTGTTCAGGTTTTGAAAGTTAAATTCGTGCATCTCAGGAACTCGCTCAGCCCCAGGCAAACCAGGGCTGTTGGCTGTCAGCTCAGTAGGTGTTTAGAGAGGACTAGAGCTAAGCCCCCACAAAAGTGGGGTGAGTAATAAATATCTGCACCACTTTAATGGAATCATGCTGCCCTAATCAAGAGACATTGGACAGTCCTGGCCCATTCTGAGCTGATCATACCATCTCAGGAGTATGGGAGTCAGTCCTGGTGCCACACATTGATCAAAAGCAACCTAGAGCATGCTTGAGGGTATTTTAAACTAGGATGGCCAAAGAATTATAGAACCAATTGTACAACAAGAACGTCTATTCTACGGAATAATTAGACAGGACTTTAACAGCTGTCTTCAAAAGAATTTAGCCCTGTCACACAGAAGAGTGATACTATTGTTTTTTGTGGCTCCAGGAAAAAGACTTAGGATCAGTGGATACCAAGCCTTAACAATCAGAGATAATGTCATCAAAGACCTGCCTCTAGGGTTAGCAAGTGCTCCTACCCACTCTCTCATCACAGTGTTCAAACAAAGGAGGAACCCTGCTTGCCAGGGGCATTGGAGAGGGTTCTGGATTTCTAGGGGGGACTGTGCCACTAAGTTCCCATCTAACACTGGGGTATAGTAAGTCCAGGCTCTTAGTTCATCTACCTACTCTGACTTGCAGTATCGCTTCCCCCAAAGCCCTGCCTCACCTGGTCCCCTTCTCCTTTTCCAATGGCAATTCCCACAAGCCAAGGCAAAGACCATGGAGGAGAATTCAGAAAAAGCGAACAGAATCAAGAACACTGAGCAGATGACTCTGGGTCAAACTCTTCAGATATACAAGGGCCTCTAGGCCTACCTCTGAGATCTGCTTTCCCATGCCCAGGCCTTTTATGATTTTAATATACCACAGTAACAAATTGTGGCGAGATAATGCATGGCAGTCCATTGCTATCTGGCAGATAATGAGGGTCTAGGATGCAAAGGAGGCTGCTGTGTGCTGCAGGAGGACACACGGGACTGGAAAGGCCAGGGCCAGGAGCTTGTTTTCCAGTGGAGTGTAACTAGCTTATTGCCACCTATAGCTTCCTCCTCCAGTGCCCCTGCCAGGGTTAAATTATAGAATTATAGGATGTCAGCACCTTAATGAGAGACAGGAGGGTGCCCCTGAAGAAACCTTATCCTTAGGGCCCTCGTGTGGTTTTCTCCGTCTTATCAGTGACATTGACCCCTTCTCTTTTGTATTCTCTCTCAGCCAAAGGGGTTCCGGCGTTACTACAGTTCCCCCTTGCTCATTCATGAGCAGTTTGGATGCATTAAAGAAGTTATGCCCATCGGTGAGTTGGGACATGGATGGGTTGAGCTGGGTTTCGAGTAGCACAATCAGCATGAGTGGCTGAAGTCCTCCCAGGGATGCAAAAAGTAGTGGTATCTTTGTGTATTTGATTAGTGGCTGTTTAGTTTATGATTATTTTGCTGGAGGAGACATATAAAATAGACAAAATTCTCCAGGAATTGTCATTGTTTCCTCAATGAAGCTTAAGGAACACCTAAGTCCCAAAAGCTATGAATCTGCTGTCCCAACCATCAGCAGCATGGCAGAGCGGAAAGGGCATGAAGCATGGCACCCCACAGACTGGGTTCAAACCCAGCTTTCTCTTGACCAACGGTGTGTCTTTAAACAAGTTACTCAACCTGTCAGGCCCTAATAATGAGAACAGCAATCATTCCTTTTCCTACTGTTTTGTAAAAAAATAAATATAGATTATAGACCAAGGCTTAGTAGAAACTCAGCGAATATGTTCTTCTTTAATGAGGACCAAACAAAATGCCCTGTATTTATTGATATTTCTAGCTTGAATCTCTTCTTTAACAATATCTTTCCATTTACTTCTATTATTTTTTTCTCTCTCAAAAATTTCTACATCTATGTTTACCTTTTGGAGGGGAAAATTTTTAAACTAGAAATAGTTGTAAACTAGAAAGCTTTCAGTTTGAAATTCATAAAGCCTGGTGATGACAAATTCTTTCTAAAACATTTACCTCCTCCTGCACATCTTGTGTCTCGAGGCTTTGTACCTTGGTGGGCAGAGCCTCCCATTAGAGGAAATAATGCTGGTATCTGGGAAGAACCTTGAAATTGGAGTCCAGGAGATGGACAACAAAAGAGGAAAAGCAACCAATCAGGAAGAGTTTAGGAGCAGAGTTCTCCTTGGGGATGTTGGGTGCAGTGGAGGGACCTGGTGAATGGGAACACATTGAGGTCAGGGGCACATCTGTGAGGAAAGCTTGACCACAGAAAGCCCCCTCTTACCAGGGGCTGGGGTCTGCTGCCCAGAATCTACTTCTCGGGTGAACCCAGGACAGGTAGTAGGTGGTTGGCTGGGTTCTCTCAAATGAGCTTTCTCAGATGAGCTTTCTCTTCTGTTGCAGCCTGTGGCAATAAGGTAGACCCTGTCTACGAGACCCTCCGCTTCGGGACCTCTCTGGCCCAGAGAACAAAGAAGAGCAGCTCCGGCAGTGGCTCTGATTCACCTCACAGAACCTCTGTAATTGTCCTCTTCCCACCTTGGTTTGTCCCTGTTGGTCTTGGGCAGGGCCACCTCAGACACTGCAGCGTGAGGGATTCCACCTACATGCCTCATGAGGGTGGGGCTCTTGGAAGTCAAGCAGCCTCCAAGAGGAAACCCAAAGTACCTTGGGGTACTAAGTGTTAGCTGACACCCAGGGATCAGTTTACTTTTCTGCTTAAAGACCATCCTCTTGGCCTCATGCTCCTTGACTCTTCTCATGTGCCCCAATATTATAATAGGTAACATATTAATCAACACATAGAAATGTTTGGCTCAAACAATGGCTGTTTCCAGTTCTCTTTCCAGATACACCCCAGTTCAAAGACATAGCTATTTCTCACATTTTCCTAGCTTTTTCTCTCTAAGACAAGGTATACCTCTTGATTTCACATAAAAACTGCCCTCCCCAGAGGCACTTGTCCTGTGACTCAGTTTGGCCTCTCTCCATGGGACACTCACCCTCCCAGGCATCTCTCCTAAGCTTCATCTGATCTAAACTTAATGTTCCTTGCATCTCTATGACCTGTTATCATCATCTGTCTCTGGCTGTCCCAACCAGAATGTCTAGAAATACTCCAAGATGCCACAGAGCAGGGGTCCCTAACCTATGTTGAGTTATATAATTATCTCATTATGTATTACAATATAATAATAATAAAGTGCACAACAAATGTAATGTGCTTGAATTATCCCAAAACCATCCCCACCCCCTCCCTGGTCCATAGAAAAATTGTCTTCCATGACAATGGTCCCTTGTGTCACAAAGGTTGGGGACCACTGCCATAGAGTTTTGCAGCCCATGCTGTAAGTCACCATGCCTACTGCAAAGAGGCCAGGACCTTCCAGTTCACATGACCACTTAGGATAGCCTATACCCAGTTACCAGTCCCACTGTTGCAGCCCCTTTTGGACTAAAAGCTTCTGGGAAAGACACAGATGAGAATCCAAATGGTCTGTCTTATGGGGTCATCTCAATATCCAGTGATTATGGTGGCCTATGGGAAGAAAGGCAGGACGTGCCCCAGGGAGGGGTTCTCAGGGACTGAGTTGAAATAGCTCCCTCACTGAGTACCGATTTATCCACGAGATAACCTGAGATTGTAGGTCGTTGAGTAGGAATATATTAATAGACCAGGTGGGTGAGTAGGTAGAAGTGGGCCCTCTGACTGATGCCACATGGTTATCCTAGAAGCCATCTTCACACTCACTGAAAGCCCTGTTCTGCCTGTATCCCACTGATTTTTAAGAGGGAAGAACCAAAAATAAATTTTTACTCTTTTTTCTTGTTGTACATAAAATTGATGTCAGTTAGTTCTTTTTTGCACTCAGCAAACATGAAGAGCCTACAGTTTACTAACACTGCAGACACGCAAAAGAAGAGCAAGACATTGTTCCATACCCTTAGAATTCACGACTTATTTATAAAGACCAAAACAATAGAGAAGAAAGCTGATGGTGGTGGCAATGTCTAGCACATTTTAAAAATACACTTTTATGTCTTATACTATTTTATTGAGTGAGAACACAATATATATGTGTTAAGGATATTATAATAACTATGTCATATGAGTGCTGATGTACTTCATAATAAAGATGGAAAATGTTTAGCTTTAGTAGACATTGCCTCAAAGCAATGAGTGTATAACTTGTGACAGTCTACGATATCTGAAAGATGGATAGAAATGGTGCTAAATGTGACCAAAAAAAAAAAATACACACAAAGTATATATGGGTGGGATTTCTATTATATACACAGGTTGGGTAATAATACTAATAATATACATAAAGTGCCCAGGGCCTAACAAAATTAACATTCAATAAGTAAAATTTATTGCTTCTTTGTTTTCATTAGGCATCTAGGCCCTAGCTGGGTTTTCTTTGAACCTGAGTTATTATGAAGTTAAACAAGGGTGTAATCCATTATCAAGGCAGACATGTTATCTGAGAAGAACATTTCCCAGCCACCACCCTTTAATAGGGCCTGTGCCTGGGCTCTGCTAGAAACCCCTGAATATCCAAGGGTTCTGCTCTGTTCTTCTCAGCCCATCTCCTTGTCTGAAATGTCCTCCAGTCAGTCCTTAAGTTGAGGTGCTCCCTGGGGTCTGCTTTTGCTTGGTCTTTTTGTTCTACGTGCTCTTTCTGGTTGATCTGTTTCACATTCCTTTAGTCTAGCTACTGTCTCTAAGCTGATGACTCCCTTACATATTTCCTGTCCTAATCTCTTTCCCAACCACCAGACCAGTCCTACAGATATCTGAAGAATCTGTAGGATTTTGCAATCAGCATGTCCAAACTAAAATCACATTCCCTTGGTGATTAGGTCTTATGATTCAGAACTCAGAAAAATGCATCAAAAATGTCCTTCCTCTCTATCACCAATGCTAGAGGTTTGAAACTCATTATCTCTCACCCAGATTATTATAAAGGAATAACTGCACTGCTCTCTTCCTTTTGAATCTACCCTTAGTAATAAATACCTTTGTGCAACTTTCCTAATTAAAATCCTCTATGGACTCACTTATGCTAGAACGACAATGCCCAAACTCTTTGGCATGGCATATGAGGCCTGTCACTACCCTAAAATCCCACCTGCCCCTGAACTCCCCAAGTTCTGTGACATCTCTAGACCTTAGAACATGCTGCTCCTCCCAGCTGAAATTCTTTAAGAGCCACTTGAATTCTACATGAGCAATGAAGAGTCTACAGACTCCCCCAAGCATGGCCAGTTGCTCCTCCCACAAGCCTTCCAGAATTCCTTTCTTGTAGGATATACACGATTGCATTGTAATGATCTATTTTTACATCTATTTCCTGAACTAGGTGCTGGGTGACTACAGTAGACAGCAGGGCCCCCCCATTCCTTATCCCTCTCTTTACACCAGGGCCTGACAGGACTCCTGGCACATAGTGACCACTCAAGAAATGGGCGAAGAATGAGGAAGAATTAGCAAGGGACTCTCGAAGACAGATCTCAGAATCCTCAGAGAGCCACCACACAGCACTTCAGTTCTCACTCCCTAAGCTCCAGGCGCAGTGCATCCTTCTCTGGATAGCTGTGTTCTGTCCAGGCACTCACACTTGGTCTCCACCTCTCTGCAGACAGCACTTCTCCGAGCTTCTGGGTCTGAGTGGGCGCCTCTTCCCTGGTCTCCCATAGCAACCAGTTCATCAATCCCTGATTTACATATTGCTTGGTAATTTTCACTTTTTTGCTTACTTTTTCTCTCACTTCTCCAGCCCCCTGCTCCCCTAGATGAAGCTGCTTAAATGAAAGGACTCTTTGTTCACATCCTTTGTATTTTCATTATCCATTACCTTACACAATTGATTCTCAAACATCACTGGGTATCCGAATCCCCCAGACAACTTTGTAACAATATAAAGACCCAGGTCCTGTCCTGCCTCAACCAGCCTGGACCTCTGTGAGTTTTATCAGCTCTCCAGGTGACTCGAATACCCACCACAATTTGAGAATCATTGATCTATCCTGTGCCAACTCATTATAGATTCTCACTAAATATTAATATGTGGTCAATGCATGAATACACAAATGAACGAACACCTTCCTCAAACTGTCTAAAATTCCAAAGGACCTAAAGCCGGCGGTGAGTTAAATTATTGGTTCTCAGAGTGTGGTCTCCGGATCAGCTGCATCAGCATCACCTGGGAAATTACTAGAAATGCAAATTCGGGTTCTCTTCTCAGATCTACAGAATCAGAAAATCTGATTTTGGGAGCCCAATAATCTTCATTTTATAAAACCCTCCAGGTGATTCTGATGCACATTAAAGTGTGAGTGACTGAGTTAAACGGAGGACTTAACGTTTGCTTTCCAGGAAATTGGCCTGTGGCAGCCCCTCCTCCTTCTCTCTCTCGTATTCACCCTGGCTGGCTCACACTTGCTCTTGTTCCCTTTCTGTGTGAACAGCTTTGAATCACACATTCACAGTGGCCACACCAGGCTGGGTCTGAAATTTGAAACAGAGACCTAAGAACACTAACCATCCCCCTAGTCCCACAATACCACATTACATCTCCTTTCTCAGGGGACTGAGGAGGGCCATGGCTGCCAATGAGTTGCTCCCTCAAAGCCACATAGAGCTGGCTCCCAGCCTGCAGCCATCTCTCTTTACACCTCAAGACTTTTGTAGGTCCCACCCAGCAATCCTGAAGAAAAGCACAAACAAAACTGGCCAGAGTAGAGAGACCTCTCTCCACTCTGACCTGCATTCTGAACAGGCCTTTCTCACATCTCCTACGAGAGACAACATATCCTCCTCCCACACCAGCACAAGCATCTCCCATGCTTGTAAAAGACCAGCCTTGGCAGAAGGGCACTTGGAAAGCCAGTCTAGACAGGCAAGAGCTGAGAGGAGGCTCCCCAGAGATGGCCCCAATCTAACCACATCAGCAGGTGGCCACTCCGGTGATTCTGAGCTTTGCTGAATTTATGACAAGGAGCAATCCTCAGAAACATTTCACAGTAGGCAATGAACATTTCAGCCTCCTCATTTTTGGCCGATGCTAAGGAGTAGCAGGACCACCAGAGGGACAATTGAAGGTGGTTCAGTTCACTTTCATCTCCAAAATAGCTTTGCTTCTAGTAACATCTGGACCCTACAGACTGGTTTTAGGGGCAGAAAACATAGTTTCGCGAATGTCAATATGATGTGCATTCATCACTGTCCAGTTATACTGGGGCTGGTTCCCTCAGTAAATATTTGTTGGAGTTTTGCTCTGTCAAGCATTGTTCTGAAAGCTGCAGAGAAACAAAGACAAATCAAATTGTATTGAAATATCTGTCACATCACTCTTTCCCAGAAGTCCAACTTGCCTCAATAGAAGAAAACAGAAACGATTGATTGGTACTTTAAAATGATTTTGCTTCCTTCCTGCGGGTCAGTGATAATGAACTTCAGCCTCTTGCCATTCTTCCAGTACTGTTATGTCCTAAGGCTAACGTATTCCTCGCATAGCAAAGCTTTGTCCCACAGATTTATATTCTTCTAGGGCTCTAGAGGCATTTGCTTTACATTGTTGAGAAGTCGCTGCCTAGCTGTTTCCAAATTGTTATGTTTTCTTTAATGGGCTTTCAATTGTTCTAAAATCTAAAAGGCTTGATGGCTTTGAGAAGACCAGAAGAAACCAAATTCAAACAACATTCTCAGAGTCCATTGGCTAGTTTATGAATAATCCTCAGTTTCATAAGATGAAATTGACGTAAATGAAATTCTCTGCAAAGCATCTCTTGTACAGAAATCGTGATCATGAACTTCAAGGGGCGCAGGGTACAAGTGACTTAGAGACCCCGTGACACTGACTTTTTTTCTCCTTTTTATATGTCATGAAAGTCAGAGTGGTTGAAAAAAATCTTAATGCTAAATTGTAACAAAAATCAGTCTCTGGAGGGTGGTGCTATAGTGCTCTCCAGGTGACTAGGATAGCTGGGGAAGGAAACTTGTCCCTCTCTGCTAAAAGATAAATTGTTTTTAAAATGTGACTTTCCTCAGAGGCCCCCTAAATTCCTCATTGGAAGAGCATGGAGCCAGGCAGACAGAAACAAGGTCATCTGGCCCTTTTAAGGAGGTAATCAGTGGTCTGCTGCTAAATGGTTAAGTAGCAGCTTGCAGCTGGACCCTGACTTACAGCGTTTGCCTATTTCCATGGTATAAATACCCCTACCACAGTAACCAATTTCATGCTGTCAGTGTGATGGCCCTGAAGGCTCTCACCAGCCCGAGGAGCTGCCCAGCACACCACTGGAAGAAGTGTGGTGCTTAAAAGCGCACACTCTGGAGGCAACGCCCGGGATTCAGGACCCCAGCTCCACCACTTAATAGCTGTGGCACCTCAAGTAGAGTTACTTACTCTCTTTGGGCTTCAGATTCCTCTCTGAAAAATGGGTCTATCATAGAATTATTGTGTTGAACAAATGAGATGATACATATAAAGTACTTAAAAACAGCATGTGGCAAATGATCAGGAACCATTACCTGTTTAGAGTGCTGTCATTATTATTGCTGTTGTTATTATTCTTGTTATGTCTGCAACCTAAGTGGAAGACTGATTGTGGCTTTTCTTATTGCAAAAAAAAGGCAGAGTAAGTATTTACAAAAGCAACATATTTTTTGCAGCAATGGAAACAGCATTTAACTCATACCTCAGTTGTGCAATCTGAATCAGTCGTGTGTCTGCTTCTCAATAGTTAATACTTAAAACTCACCTATAGAAAGAGCTATAGTTTTACTTAAAATGTTAAGCAACAGGATATGGGCAGGAATTCTGATTTTTCTCTGTTTTCTGTTCCTGGGAAGAAGCCTAACTGTGGCCTGTGCACCTAGGCATTCACTCACTGCGTACCTGGCATGGCCAGCCTGAGCCTGCCAGACACCTGAAGAACAGTACAGTACCCACAAGAGGACACGGCCTCTCTGAAGTTAGCCACACAGATGAGATAGTGATTGTTGGATTCTTAGGTGTCATACAAATGCCACCCTAGCTCTTTGGCTGACATCAAAATTTCTGTTCATTGACCCCTTGATATGACACTGCTCATCCCATGCTATTTCCTCCTTCCTCCAAGACTTCAGATCTCGTGGAGGTTCCTGAGGAAGCTGATGGGCCAGGAGGCGAGTACGACCTAAGGAAACGCAGCAACAGCGGTGAGTGAGGGGATTGGCCCAGCACAAATGTGAATCGCTTGAGTCAGGGGCAGGGGGCAGGTGAAGTCCATGTTCCATCCCCACTATTTCTCTGCTAGCTCAGGAATTCAGTCAGGGCAAGTGTTCGATATTCTGGAGGGAAACTGAGCATAGTTTCTGGTTGATTTCTGTGACTCAGTATTTCCCTGAGTTCTGTCTCCTGAGTTCTCATGCCTTATGGACTTAGCTACATGAGGATTTAGGAGTCACTTTCAGACCTTTTTGTGAATGTATCATTTTCTCCAATGACCTAAATTAGAATAGCAACCATATCACAGAGATGCTACTTTATGGTACACCTGAGGTGCCTGACACCAGACGGCAGCAGGGCCAGAAAGGGGAGCATGGCTCCTTCCCTGGCAGAGACAACTAAAACCTTCAAAAACTGCACAATCCATTCAAACATTCTTTATTCATATCACTTAATCATCTAATGGCTTAAGCCTTTGTTTCAATAATTTCTAAAACATTCATTACCTGGTAAACACATACAATTGCTTGCCAACATTAAGAAAGAACCACCCTGTAACCCAGAGCATAAGGACACGTGAGAAGACCCTTAGGAATGCATCCTGCTGGCCCTTTTTGACATCAATAACTATTTCACCTTTACACATTTGGCAAAAAAAATATTTATGAAGCCTTTACTATCATCAGCAAAAGTGCATCCGTCACAGTCTAGCAAGGTGCAGGTCCTGACCTGCGTTGTTGACTCGGACTGAATGCATTCTCATGGCAGAAGTGATCCCTCCACGCTCCGATACACCTGCCTTTTCAGCCTGGGTGCAGAAGTTCTGTATTCAGTACTGCTTGTCACTGCATCAGCAGCAAGCAGCTGTCTTGCAACATATCACTTCCACTTCCTTCCCTCTGGGAATTCATTTATGGCTCTTCCCTCATTAGGACTATGCCGTGTGATTCCCACAGGCACCATGTGCTTAGCTACCCTGTGACTCTCCTCCCTAAATAAGCATCAGCTTTCACCGTACCACCACCGCACCTCCTCTTGCCCAGCCCACATGCACCTGCTAATGCTCCCTGTTAAGGTAAGGATTCTTTGGCATCACATGGTGAAACTGTACTTTTAGATCAATGCAAATAATCATTGAGCACTTAGCAATGCCATTAAAGAGACACATTAGAAGATGTTTGCTTCAAGGGAAACTTCACAGCAGGGCAGCAACACGGCAGGGCTGTCCCAGCCAGGTCTGGCCGGCATTGCAGGACCAGCAACAGAATCTGAACAGCAGTCCCAGAGATGTTCTGCAACATCTTAGGCACTGATTCATCAGGGACTCTTATATAAATCAGTCTTGGATGTTAATTCTTCAAGTCTGGTAGGCTGCTCAGTCCTGAGTCTGACTTCCACCTTGATCCTTCCCCTGCCATTTCTCCTGCCACCATCCCTAATGGCCTTCTCATCACTAACTGCACTGGAAGCTTTTGGTCCATGTCCCATCCTAGCTCTGGAGACAGACTGCCAGACTTCACTTAGTGATTGTGTGGCCTTGAAGCAATGACATAACCTCTCTCAGCTTCAATCACCTCATCTCTGAAATGCAGATAATAATAACATCAAATCAGTAGGTTTGTTACGAGCTTTAGGTGAGATCGCAAATGTACACACTATCCATACATTAATGACACCCAAACTTCATCTCCAGCATTAGGCTTCTTTGCTGTCCCCAGATACCTATAGCCTACTGGACATTGCCCTCTGAATGTGGAATAGGAACCTTAAACATAATACACCAACTTTACTCTTGTTCCGTTCACCCACCCATCCAAACCGGCCCTTCCCACAATTATCTCTGCTTGGTCAATAGGAACTCCATTCGACCGGTTGATTAGGCCAAAGTTTTTGGTGTCAGCCTCGACTCCCCCTGCCTCTCACCCTCATATCCAATCAGGGAAGAAATTCTATCTGCTGTTTATCAGAATTATGCCCAGCAGGTGCCTGCTGCTAACTCACTGCCTCAGCCATCTGGTCCAGCTCTGTTGACGCTGTTGCTCACCAATTCCTTTAGTAGCTAAGGACTCTGTTTATGCCCTGGGGATCTCTTCTTTCAAAAGGTGGTCCTGGTAGGATTTTATAATGTGAAGCGCTGTATTTAGGAATCATCAGTATGCAGCATGGTTGCTATTAGCAAAGCCATCATGAGCTCACAAAGAATCAGAGATGCAGGTAGAGCCTCATTACTCCAACTGTGACCCATCTGACCAGCTTCCTGGGCACCATGTGAAAGGCTGTTAGAAATGTAGAGTTTCAGGCTGCCTCCGACCTGATGAATCAGAGTCTGCATATGAATCTGTGGTTCATGTGGTCATATGGCCATTAACGTTTGGGAAGTGGGACTTGAGATTATTTAGTCCAATTCCTTTCCTCCAACACATACACACACACACACACACACACACACACACTACAACACATGCCATGTAGATAAGGAAACTAAGTCACAGAGTAATACACTACACATAAAGACACAAAGTTGATTATTTTCCATCTCTTCTATGGCAAGGGGCATTTTCACAGCCTCATTCAAAGAGATCTGTTGAAAGAATCTAGCAAGCAATAAACTTCCAAAAAGCTTTGGCGATCTATTAGCAATTCGTTTGATCAGCAATAGCTTTCTCCACAATGCACCCTTAGAAGCCAGGGAGATTAATTATGCAGCAGTTTGCTTCAAAACATCTTCCTTTGATTGGTTTTCATCCCCTGTTCATGCAGTTTGAGAAACAACATAGAGAAAACACCCGACTTATGTGGTTCAAGTTCCCACTGGTGTTCTCAATCATGGCAAGGAGGGTGTTGGCTTTTCAGAATCAGTGTTTAGGAGGCCAGTCTCAACCAGTTCTGCATGACATGTTTCATTTATGTCCTAAGAATAAATGCAGTCCACACAGGTGTTATTTCTTCTACCCAGACATTATGTCAAATTCCTCGAGGAATATTTCCAAAGCCACCTTAGAAGAAGGTACAATTTATTTCTCTACTGCTAAGAGTTCAGTCTCTACTTTTTCTCTTATAAATGATCTTGGGCAGGTCTGGTTGTTGTTTTCAACACTATTCCTGGATCCATCATAAATACAATTGGGGAAAATTGTTGACCTTCACCTTTGGCTTAACTGCTAGAAACTTCACTCATAACAAAGTAATGAGCAAAGGGAGAAGTAAAATTCTGGGCTTCCCATTTCAGCTTGAAATGCCATAGAACAACATCACTGGCTGCTTTTAATAATTGCATTTCAGAATGACTGTATGTGATCATAATTTTCCTGGAAGAGAAACAGAGAGAACAGGATACAAGCAATACAAATTCCTAGAAATTGTCTTCAAAAAGGACTGGGATAGTCATGTCTACTTGAGGATATTACAAAATCTGGTATTACCTCACTTTGCACCAAAGAAATTATGTCCAGAAAGGAAAAAAGGCAATCTCCGATTTAGAAAGTTCATCCTTACATGTAGAATGCACTGATTCTGTATCTCAAATTTTAAGGTCACAAAAAAGGTCACAAATTTTAAGGTCACAAAAAAGAGCAGATTTTTTTAATGGCTAAGTTGGCAGATGTCCCTGGATTTTGGACCCCTCCAGTGGACAATTTCTAAATTACAGATGCAAGTATTTATGGTATGTTTCTACAACACACATTTTGTATCTAGACCAGGTAAAGATCTCTTTGAAAGCATAAAATATTCCCTTTCTAGCAATGTGGAGAGCTGGATGTTCAGAGAAATTTTTTTTTAAATTCCTAGCTAATGCATGGCTGAGCTGGCAGCAAAATAAGTAAAGTCCTTGGAGTATAGAAATGACAATAAAACATGAATCCAGAGACACAAGCAGGTAAAGGCTAATGTTTCCTCTGCATCTCCCTGGGCTTCAGCTTGGGCAATAATAGACCCAAGGTATGAATACTAGAGGACAAAACCTAGGGAGTTGGCAGGGTACAAGGTTACATGAGAGGCCCTTTGGAAAAATGCTAATACCACAAAAGGCATCCTTAGTATCACTGCAAAAAGACAATGCCCTGCAGAGAAATATGCTATATCAGCCTTAATTTAGGTAGAAAAGAAAAGAAACAAGGAGAATGGGGAGAAGAGAAAGAGAGACAGACAGAGGGAGGGAGGGGAAGAAAATAAAGTCTTATCACTTCGGTTTACAGCCTGAATTCATGCTACTTGTATGGGCAAAGTAAAACAATATGAAATTTTAGTTTAATTTAAAGTTGCCAGGTATGATAAGATCACCAGGCATTAGGCAGAAGAAAATGTAAAGCCACTCTGGAGGAAGAGAATTTTAATCCAGATCTTAAAAACTTCCCACAAATGAACTTTCAAAGAACATGAGCTAACAATCAAACTTCACCAAACACATGAGAAAATGAGCCATCATGAGTAGGAGCTAGCAGAAACAACCAATTTTATGAGCAGACTCCCAGAGACTGTATATTTTGGAATTATCAAACAAAGAAATATATAACTATATAGTTGTATATATTTAAAATATAAAAAATGGACTAGAAAATATAACAAAAGAATAAGAAACTATCAAAAGTAAATAGGCAAATTTGAAGAAAAAACAATTAGAACTTCTAGAATTTTTTTAAAAAGTAGAAATTTGACTTATGGGTTTAATAGCATATTAGACATAACTGAAGAGATAATTAGTTTCCTAAAATATAGAGCCAAAGAAATTGCAGAGAATAGCCAGGGAGACAAAGCAGCGGAATTCATGATAGTAAAAGAGACACGGAAAGTACGTGAGAAAGTCTAACATGCATCTAATTGACATTTTAGAAGAACATAAAGAGAAAATCAAGAGAGATAATATTCAAGAAGATACTGGCTGAGAATTTTCCAGAACTGATTAAAGATACCATTTCTCAAATTTAGAAATCTATACCTAGACACATCTTAGGGACTGCAGAATTTCAAAGACAAAAGAAAATATTTTTTA